AGGAGGAGCCGGAGTAGGATGTGGGGGACACAGGGGACACGGATCTATGGGTGAAGCAGCAGGCCATCCTCGATTTCCTCCGCTCGGAGTCGGATGCGGAGGCGAGACGTCGTCGCCGATAGGAGATGGAGGCGCAGCACGCCGCAGAGCAGTAGGAGGAGATGTTCGCGTACATGGATGAGGTCGAGCAGGAGGAGGAGGAGACGGAGCCCTCCTACATGCCCGTCCACCCGGCGCCCGGCACTCCAACGACGAAGATTAGGTAGGGTGGTACGTAGGATTTTATTTTTTTGCATGCTTTGTATGAATCTAGGTGTTGAAATATGAGAGATTTGGGTGCAGGGTAGTTAATTTAAGACGTGGCCGGTCACTTTCTACGAACGCGCCCAATCACGTTCACGAGTGTTTGAGGGACTGAATTCGTCAAGTACGGCTCTAGATGCTCTCATGCGTGACATCGCATTGAGATCTAACATCCCAGTAGGCTGAGGTTGTGACTGCCATATGGGGCCATAGCCCTGACTGCCAGGTGGGCGTGCCACTAGCCTGTACAGTACCGCACAGCAGTCTCTATCCCATGCACGTAGGCATATCCCGGTCAGAAGCCATATTCCGGTCATAGTAGCGATTTTACTTGTTTGAAAATACCTATTTTATGTTGATCTCGCTTATTTCGAAATACCGAGTTTACTTGTTTCAAAAAAGTTATTTTTCTTTATTGAAAAAATATTTCACTCGTTTCAAAAATCATATTCCACTGATTTCGACCAATGAAGTCATTTCAAATAACTGATTTCACTCATTTCAACTAACAGGTTTCACTCACCTCAAAAACATAAACTTACCCAATTTGAAACACTGATTTCACTCATTTCAAATATCATATTTCACTCATTTTAACATCCTGATTTGAGTCAATTAAAAAATCACACATTTCAAACAAATTGATTTCACTCACTTCAAATAGCAGATTTCATTTCAAAAGACAATCACTCATCTCAAAATTTTGATTCCACTGATTTCAAAACACTGATTTACTCATTTTAGAAAACTAATTTCACCACTTCAAACACATATTTCACTCATTTGGAAACAATGATTTAACTTCAGAAAAATAATTTCTCTCATTTCAAAAAAATCACTAGTTTAAAAAATCATTGAATTCCAAAATTTGATTTAGCTCATATTGGGCTTGTTTGGAGATATCATCAAAAGAAAGAGACAAGTTTCACATTATTTATTGGCAATTTATTTCAACATATTGGGCTTGTTCTAAGTTTAAGCTTGGAAAATTAAATTTATGTACTAGTTGGTGGGAAAGACAAGTGTGGTGTGAGAGAAAGTTAAGACTCAATGGAAAAATTTCTATCCTATGCATCAAATGACATCTTCTCTATAGAAATTGAGATGCATGTCATCTCACTTCCTATGATTTTCCTATTCCTATAATATTCCTATCCTATGAACCAAAGGAGTGTATATGTGACATCTGTACTATTAAAGGGGAATCTGCCGTCGTCGTGATGGTTCGACCACCCCCTCCCCCTCTGCGATCGCACTTCGTAAACGCCGGTACGATCCGAAAAACGCGGGCCTCTTGCGATCGCTACATCCCCGTAGGAATAATCCATCGTACAAACCAGGGAAACAAATGCCCACTAACGCACGTCGTGCTCTCGGTCACCCCTCGCTCCTGTCTCTATCGCGTGAAAAATCGCCGCCGCTCCGCCCACGAACCTACGCACCATCGCTCCCAATCCACGCATGGCTAACGACGAGGGCAGGTGGCGGATGCCGGGAACGATGAGGAGCTGGCGATGCCGGCGCACGTCCGGTGCCCGATCTCGCTTGAGCTCATGAAGGACCCGGTCAAGGCACCTACGGGCATCAACAATGGCCGGGAGAGGTGGCTGGTGCGGGGGCGCGACACGTGCCCCATCACCGGCGGCCCCGTGTGGCTCGCCGACCTCGTCCCCAACAACGCCACGCGCCACATGATCCAGGACTGGTGCGTCGCCAACCGAGCCGAGCAGGTGCCCGTCGCCGAGGCCGACGCCGCCGAGGTGCTCGCCGCCTTCGTGCGCGGGAACGCGGCGGCCTGCGGGCAGGGGGCCGCCAGGGCCATTGGGAAGGAGAGCGACTGCAACCGCCGGTGCCTCGTGGCTGCCGGCGCCGCCCGCCAGCTCGCCTCGGCTTTCCAGAGCCTCACCGGAGAGCCCGTGGAGAGCACCAGCGTCGCAGCATTGAGCGTGCTGGGGACGATCTTGGCGGCCCTTACCATGTTCTTCCCGCTCGACGACGAGGCCCGGCGCTGCATTGCCTCCCAGGCGTCTCACAAGTCACAAGACCCTTGTCTCGGTGCTCTCGCACGGTGAGGTCGCAGCGCGGGCCAGCGCGCCGCCATTGTCCACCGCGAGCTCGCCTCATCCACCGACCGACACGCCGTCAACGTTATCTCGAGGACGCCCGGCGTGTGCAGTGCGCTCGTCAGCCTCGTCAGGAACCCCGTGTCCCTGCAGGCCACCAAGGCCGCGCTCATCACGGCCTACTACCCCATCTCCAGCAGCGACCGCCTGCTTCACCGACGTCGTTGTGGAGCTCGTCGTGGACACTGACAAGGGGACGAGCGAGAAGGCACTGGCCGTGCTCGATGGCGTCCTGTGTGCCGACACCGGCCTCAGGTCCGCGTGTGCGTACGCGCTGGTCATGCCGGTGCTGGTCAAGAAGATGTTCCACGTGTCCGACATGGCCAAGGAGTTTGCCCGTCTCCGTGCTCTGGCACCTCTTTTGTGCCGCGGACACCGGCGCTGGCGCGCGCTGCTACGAGGCACTGCGTGTGGGCTCCTACCGGAAGCTGCTCCAGGTGTGCTGAGGCGGCGTGACCGAGGATCGGGCCAGCGAGCTGCTCAAGCTGCTCAATGGTTTCAGGGGCAGCGTAGAGTACATCGAGACGATGGACTTCAAGGGGCTCAAGAAGT